GGCTCCCCTCTTTTCTTTCTGGGGAGAAAGATTACAACCTAGAGGGTGAAGGATTCCACCCCCTGCCTGGGTCCCCAGGTCCTACTTTCTACCCAAACACCCTTCTCCCCAGAACCAAGCCAGGCAGATGTTCAGTATCACCTGAAAGGTTGTCTTATTTTCTCTTGGGTTCCCCACACACAGTTGAATGTTCTTGTTGTAATGGTTAAAGCGCCTTTTACACTTCAAATCCGCCTGCAGGGTCAGCTCTACCTCCTGCAGAGTGTCTGAGCCAGGGCCCCTCCTTGTGACCTGCCCCCAGCCGGCCACAGTGCAGTTATCTCCTGGATTTGGCAGGTCCTTGCCCCTGGGCAGTGGGAGGGGCTTCACAGCATCAGTTTGCTTGATGTTTCTCTCCAGCTGGTGGGGAAGAGGCAAGGGAGCCCAGGTCAGCCAGTGCCTCTGGGCCTGGACACTGAGGGACCCTTGAGTCACTAGGACTGGTCAGGTGGCCAGAATGGGAGGAAAGGACGGGACGGTTCACAGTGAGAGGAGATACAATGAGATCCCAAAACTGCAAGCGCAGCAGGAGGTTTCCTCACCTGCAGTAACATGATGTCATAGGTGCCTTTCCTCTTAATAAACTTTGGGTGCGGGATGGCTCTTTTCACCAGGACGACCTGTTGGGTCTTCTCCTGCTTTCTGATGTTGTGGGCCCCCAGGGTGACACTGATTGACCTGCACAGAGAGCAGATTGGGTGAGTGGTGGGGAGGTAGAGTCACAGGAGATATAGCCCAGGAGCTGTGAAGGGCAGGGCTACAGACTAGGGAGATAAGCAGGCAGGCAGTGGTGCTGCAGGACAGGGCAGGGCTGCAGACTGGGGAAATCAAGGTAACAGGGGAAAGGGACCTAGTGACCCTACTTCTCTATGACACTGAGGTTAGGGAGCTGGGAGCTCTCTCTGGCCCTCAGGAAATGCCATGAATTGCTTGCATTTTCATTTTGACCCTAATGCATGTGTTCATGGTCCACCGCTGCTTTATTTGCTGAGTGTGGTCCTCCTCTTCCTGTGTTACTTGTTGTCACCTCTGACCCTCTGAGCCCAGAGATTACTTGTCCTATATCCCAGCCTCTCATTGCTCCGTCATGATCTCTGATGGCTCCTCTGATGAGGTCTCATGGGCTTGAGTTACCAGGAGCCTGGGGAGCTGCCCTGAGCTGCAGCTCCTGGGTTGGAGGACAGGGTCCCTGTAGGGGTCTCTGGAGGTGTAGCCTGGCTGCGGCCCCTTACCTTCCATTGCAGTGAGCAGCTGTCAGAACATATTTCTTTTGCACAAGGACACCGCCACACATGGACTCCTCCTCCTCATCTTCAATGTGAAGGTAGGCCATGTAGGGTCTGGAGTGGGGCTTGGCTTCATGTCCCCCGATGATCTCCCCTGAAGGAAAAGTGTGTTGCACTTGTGTGTCCCCACTGAGTCCACCAGGCAGGCACTGGCTTGATTACTCAGGCGCATGGGCATTTGGGAGGCTGCACTGGCCTGGAGTTGGCAGGGGGTGGGGAGGGTCCTCAACTTTCTCATCTGGAAAAGGGAATAGCAATGGGCTGGGCCTGTGACTTTGCCTGACATATAGTTGCTGGTGAGAATCCAAGTCTTAGGGACAGAGAAGGCCTGGAGGCTCCTGAAAATTCCTCTCCTGACTTCGCTTGGTGTTGGGTGAGCTTCTGAGGCCCCCGTGGTGCTGTGAGGTTCAGGGTAGTGCACTTTGCAGTGTCTAGGACTTAAGTTAAGGGATCTAGATGCTGACACATGAGGACTTCCTGGTAAGTGTTTATTAACTGCCTTGAAGGGTTGGCTCCCAATGGGCCTCTGGAATTGGGTTGGTAAGGCCAGTGCTGTGGGATTCTGGAAAGCAGAGGAGACTGGGGTTGCCAACCTCACTGGCTCATCCTTTAAGGAGAGGACCTGCTAAAGGCCTGGGAAGAAAAGCAGAGCTGGAGAAAGGGACTGAGGGGCCTTGAGATGGAGCAGAGGAAACAGCAGTCTTCTGGGGACAGTGACCCCACCAACTGTGGGGTCTGCTGAGCTCTGGGCTTCTCTCCTAAGCAGACCCTGAGGACAGCACCTGTGTCATCACAGACATGGAAGCTAGGACTGCTCTGCCCTCTGCAGTTTCCCAGCCTCTGCCATGCACTTCTAGGAAGTTCCACTCTCCACCTGGCATAGGTAGGGCCTGGGGCGGGCATTGTGCCCCCCAGCTTTTCTTGAGAAGAGGCTTCTGTCCTGTCATTTCTGCGTGTTGTTCATCCAGCATCATGTGTGTGGGTCTGAGATGGGATGGGAGCTGGGGTTCAGAGCATTCCTGGTGGAGAGCTGGATCTGGGATGTGCAGAAGGGCCAGGAGGTCTGTGCCCACTGTGGATGGGTTGGGCCTGTGAGGGTGGGGATGGTCACTCACCTGCCTCTGCCGAGGGGAGCAGGAAAAAGGCCAGCAGGAGCACGAGCAGGGGTGGCTGCATCTTCCCAGGAAGGCTGCTCAGGTCGGAGCTGCTGGTGTTTCTCTGTGCTCTGTTTTCACGCCCAGAAGAGGAAGGAAGTGTGGGTGGGCTCTGTGACCTGAGTCCCCCTCTGGTTTTATAGTGCTTCATCCCAGAAGGCTTTCTATGAAGCATCTCCACCCCCACAGCTCCTGCCTGATGATGGTCTCTGGGTGGTTGTGTGAGGAGTATGCAGTGACCACATCAGTACCCACAGCTGATGACTCAGAGCAGACACCTGAGCAGACTCCAGCCCCAAACAGGAACCCAAGGTTACAAGATGGGGCCTGTGGAATGTGGTATTGACCAGCAGAGGTACTGGAGCCCAGAAACCTGAGTTCCCAGTGAGAGAACCCCCAGTGCCTCATCTCCATGCTACTAAGCCCATCAGGGTAATTTCTTTTGCATGTGTCTGTTTAGGTCCGTCTCTGTCCTATGGACAAACATAGTGGAGATGTGTCTCCTGTTTTTAGAGCAGTAATTTTCAACCTTTTACTTCTTCATGGCACATAAACTACTAAAATTCTGTGGCACACTAAAAAATATATTTTTGTGTATTCAACAAAAAATAGGTATACTTTTGATTGTTTTGTAAAAAGGAAAAAACTAATTAACTACCCTTTTTGCTCCAAAGTGACTTAAAAAAATATCAGGTGCCTATACTTGTATATAAGAACTTCTGGTACCAAGAATTAAACAATCAGACGCAACTATATTATGCACCGTGACCAATAAAATGCAATTCTATTATATAACCTATTTATTTATGGTTCCACAAAGGGCATTCACACCAGATGACTATTGTTATGTTGGCTGTTGTCATTTTTTAAAATATAATTTTTATTGATTCCAGAAAGGAAAGAAGACAGAGACAGAAATGAAACATTAATGATGAGAGAATCCTTGATTGGCTGCCTCCTGCATGCTCCACATTGGGGATCAAGCCCAATACCTATGTATGTGCCCAGACCGGGAATTGAACAGTGACCTCTGGGTTCATAGGTCTACGCTCAGTCATTGAGCCACAACAGCTGGGCTGTTGTAATTTTTAAAATTGATGATCTAAGGGAAAATAGGTTAGTGCTCCTGACTAAATAGTCTGGTATTGCATGTTTAAAAGTTCTTGTGGGACATTAGTTGAAAATTGCTGCTTTAGAGAGAGGTGGCCATCTGGTGGGGGAGATAGAAACATCAGGGAGTTTCCAGATCTTAGCGGGAAGGCCGGGGAGGGTTGAGGGGCAGGAGGGAGGGGGGTAAGAGATCAACCGAAGGACTTGTATGCATGCATATGAGCATAACCAA